GAACTAGAACAGAACTAGAACAGAACTAGAACAGAACTAGAACAGAACTAGAACAGAACTAGAACAGAACTAGAACAGAACTAGAACAGAACTAGAACAGAACTAGAACAGAACTAGAACAGAACTAGAACTAGAACAGAACTAGAACTAGAACAGCACTAGAACTAGAACAGCACTAGAACAGAACTAGAACAGAACTAGAACAGAACTAGAACAGAACTAGAACAGAACTAGAACAGAACTAGAACAGAACTAGAACAGAACTAGAACAGAACTAGAACAGAACTAGAACAGAACTAGAACAGAACTAGAACAGAACTAGAACAGAACTAGAACAGAACTAGAACAGAACTAGAACAGAACTAGAACAGAACTAGAACAGAACTAGAACAGAACTAGAACAGAACTAGAACAGAACTAGAACAGAACTAGAACAGAACTAGAACAGAACTAGAACAGAACTAGAACAGAACTAGAACAGAACTAGAACTAGAACAGCACCTAGAACACTAGAACAAACTAGAACAGAACTAGAACAGAACTAGAACAGAACTAGAACAGAACTAGAACAGAACTAGAACAGAACTAGAACAGAACTAGAACAGAACTAGAACAGAACTAGAACAGAACTAGAACAGAACTAGAACAGAACTAGAACAGAACTAGAACAGAAAAAAAAAACAGAACTAGAAGAACTAGAACAGAACTAGAACAGAACTAGAACAGAACTAGAACAGAACTAGAACAGAAACTAGAACAGAACTAGAACAGAACTAGAACAGACTAGAACAGAACTAGAACAGAACTGAACAGAACTAGAACAGGACTAGAACAGAACTGGAACAGAACTAGAATAGAACTAGAACAGAACTAGAACAGAACTAGAACAGAATTAGAACAGAACTAGAACAGAACTAGAACAGAACTAGAACAGAACTAGAACAGAACTAGAACAGAACTAGAACAGAACTAGAACAGAACTAGAACAGAACTAGAACAGAACTAGAACAGAACTAGCAAAGAACTAGCACAGACTAGACCAGACTATAGACTAGACTATATAGACTACACTATAGACTACACTATAGACTAGACATTAGACTACACTACAGACTGGACTATAGACTACACTGTAGACGAGGCTATAGTCCAGAATGTGGACGAGATACTATAGACGAGACGATAGACTAGACTATAGTTTAAACTATAGATTAATTTACAGATTATTATCACCTGATTTAAGTAGTTATCATTTAACTGTTTTAAGTAACTTACAATTTAAATTTATATAATTATCAATTAAAAAACTTTTTTTGAGATAACTACATCTGGCATATCTTTTTTCTCTCTTCTCATTACAACGAAAATCTTCACTATCACTATTATCTTCAGACCTATTCTTTCAACATTATTTTCAAATTGTTGCTTGTTTTCCAGTTGGCTAAATATTTCTTTTTTTTCGACTTCCATTTTTATGCTCCCTTACTACGTTTAACATGTACTTGAGCTCTGGTTGGAGTAGTTCCCCCACTAGTTAAACTTACGACTACTAATGCTGAAATACATATAAACACAATTATTTTCCCTTTTACTCCTCTGTACTAGTACTGGTTTTTGAAGTACTCTTGTGCAAATTGTATAGAGTTTCAGTTTTTATATTTATTTAATATTTTTTGTTGATCTACTCCTTTCATACTCTGATAAGTGCGTAGGTAAAAATATGAATGGCTGGATTTTCGGTTTTATGATTTTTTTTTTTTTTGCAGCACAGAAAATTTATTTTTGTTAACGGATGAAATAATTTTTTAATCGTAATATAACTTAAGTGGTGAGATTGTTATTTTGTGTTTAAAAAAATATGTTGCATGAAAATTCATTAAGAGTTTCAAAAAAAAATTCTAAATAAATGAAATCATAGAAGCTAACCTGCGAGAAATAAAGATTTCAAGTTTTTATTTCTTGCAGTTTCGACTGCTTTAAACCCAACCCCTTAACTTTTTAAGAAAAACTATAAAAATATTTAATTTTATTTTTTGTTTAAATTGTATTTCATTTTAATTTACTTAATTATTATATATGTATTACATTTATTTATTTGCTTAAGTTTAAAACTAAAAAATATTTTTAATTTTTATAAATATTGCACAGTTTTGGTGTTTTATTTCACCTAAAAATTACGAAATAATCTTATTTCTATTTACAAAATCCTATTTATTTTAATAAATATTCAACAAATATAATTATTTACGAACGCTCTTAAGTTAAATTATAAAACAACTTGGTATTACTTATTCTAAAAAAAAACTTTTACAACGGACAACCGTGCACGTAACTGACATTGCGAAATATGGCCGCTGCTGCTGCTGATGTTAGAAAATTACAGGGATTGGTAGCGTTGAAAGATGTTAAGCCGGGCGGGCAACAGCCCAAAGGGTTTCCTGAACCATTTTCCGCTACATATTCCTTTTTCATGGAAGCCTGATGGCGTAATTGTTCTAGGCGCAGTTGATTTTGACGTTTCCATTTGGTTCTAGTGGGCGGAAATGGGAAAACAGAGAAAAAATTAGTTAGACTATGATCTAGGTTATAGATTTGACTATGGACTAGAAATAAACTATAGACTAGACTATAGAAAACACTATAGAAAAGACTATAGACTATACAAAAGACTAGACTTTAGAATAGAATATAGACTAGACTATAGGCAAGACTATATACAAACTAGAGACAGGATCATAGACTAGGCTATAAACTAGACTATAGACACGAATATAAACTAGACTATAGACTAGAATTAAACTAGAACTAAACTAGAACTGAACTAGAACTGAACTAGAACTGAACTAGAACTGAACTAGAACTGAACTAGAACTGAACTAGAACTGAACTAGAACTGAACTAGAACTGAACTAGAACTGAACTAGAACTGAACTAGAACTGAACTAGAACTGAACTAGAACTGAACTAGAACTGAACTAGAACTGAACTAGATCTGAACTAGAACTGAACTAGAACTGAACTAGAACTGAACTAGAACTGAACTAGAACTGAACTAGAACTGAAATAGAACTGAACTAGAACTGAACTAGAACTGAACTAGAACTGAACTAGAACTGAACTAGAACTGAACTAGAACTGAACTAGAACTGAACTAGAACTGAACTAGAACTGAACTAGAACTGAACTAGAACTGAACTAGAACTGAACTAGAACTGAACTAGAACTGAACTAGAACTGAACTAGAACTGAACTAGAACTGAACTAGAACTGAACTAGAACTGAACTAGAACTGAACTAGAACTGAACTAGAACTGAACTAGAACTGAACTAGAACTGAACTAGAACTGAACTAGAACTGAACTAGAACTGAACTAGAACTGAACTAGAACTGAACTAGAACTGAACTAGAACTGAACTAGAACTGAACTAGAACTGAACTAGAACTGAACTAGAACTGAACTAGAACTGAACTAGAACTGAACTAGAACTGAACTAGAACTGAACTAGAACTGAACTAGAACTGAACTAGAACTGAACTAGAACTGAACTAGAACTGAACTAGAACTGAACTAGAACTGAACTAGAACTGAACTAGAACTGAACTAGAACTGAACTAGAACTGAACTAGAACTGAACTAGAACTGAACTAGAACTGAACTAGAACTGAACTAGATGAACTAGAACTGAACTAGAACTGAACTAGAACTGAACTAGAACTGAACTAGAACTGAACTAGAACTGAACTAGAACTGAACTAGAACTGAACTAGAACTGAACTAGAACTGAACTAGAACTGAACTAGAACTGAACTAGAACTGAACTAGAACTGAACTAGAACTGAACTAGAACTGAACTAGAACTGAACTAGAACTGAACTAGAACTGAACTAGAACTGAACTAGAACTGAACTAGAACTGAACTAGAACTGAACTAGAACTGAACTAGAACTGAACTAGAACTGAACTAGAACTGAACTAGAACTGAACTAGAACTGAACTAGAACTGAACTAGAACTTGAACTAGAACTTGAACTAGAACTGAACTAGAACTGAACTAGACCTGAACTAACTGACTAGAACTGAACAGAACTGAACTAGAACTGACTAGAACTGAACTAGAACTGAACTAGAACTTGACTAGAACTGAACTAGAACTGAACTAGAACTGAACTAGAACTGAACTAGAACTGAACTAGAACTGAACTAGAACTGAACTAGAACTGAACTAGAACTGACGAAAACTGAACTAGAACTGAACTAGAACTGAACTAGAACTGAACTAGAACTGAACTGAACTGAACTAAACTGAACTAGAACTGAACTAGAACTGAACTAGACTGAACTAGAACTGAACTAGAACTGAACTAGAACTGAACTAGAAACTGAACTAGACTGAACTAGAACTGAACTAGAACTGAACTAGAAAACTGAACTAGAACTGAACTAGAACTGAACTATACTGAACTTGAACTAGCCTAGACCAGGTTTTTTCTTTTCTTTAGATTATTATTTCTATTACATTATATCTTTGCTGCGAATTACTTTTTTCACTTACCTCCGATTTGATACAACCACGTTTTCACTTGTGTCTCCGACAAATTTAATGTTCTGCCACATCGCTTCTAATCGGCCACACTCAGATACTTTTGACAAAACGAAATTTTCTCTCCAAATATGCCAACTGGGCATGTGTAAAAGCTGTCCGCCGACGTCTAGGTTTTCGACCGCTTTTCGGCAAACCCATTTTATGTTCTCCCAAAAATCCACCCCCATGTGTTTGAGGCAATTGGCTGCTTACGGAATGTTCATTATCATTAATAAAGTGGGAAGAGTCAAGACTAGATTCATTGTTGCTAAATAATAAATGACCATTGGATAACGTTTGACCATTATAATGACAATTTAAAGCTTCTGAATCGGGAGAGGAACGATCTTCTATATCAATATCTGAATTGTTGTCGGAAATGTCGGAGTCTGAAAGAAAAGTAAAATTAAATTTTAAGTAAAAAAAAATCTGATGCTTCACGTGTCAACGCTTAACCTCCTACCAAGACTTGATAACCAGAGTTTTTTAAAAATAACTTCTGTTTTATTGAAATTAATGTAGTTTAGTGAAAAGATTTGCATTTAACAACCCCTGTTAATATAATTATTTCCCTCATTACCAGACAATATCCATCAAATAACCATTAATGTTTTATTTTTTTTCTACGTTTCAAGTGGGCGTTCGTCTCTACAATAACTTTTCATAACTCTTCAAATGTGAACTCATCTTCGTCATCAACATGCTCATCATTTCGTGTTTTTAACCCTCTTCAGATACATTTAACAGTTAAAGCTTGTGGGTTTAAAAAATACACACGATTCCCATTTCCTTATAAAAAACACCACATGCTTAAAATGGCGTATAAAAATAGTATTGAAATTGTAGATCTAATTGTTTTATTTTTATCCTGTTCTTATATCCTGTCTATATTATTTTTTTCGAATAATTTTTTTTTTTAATAAACTGCTTGTGTTCTTTTTGCAGACTTTTATTCGACGACCACAAAGGTCGATTTTTTTGTGGCCACAGAAGTCACAGCGTGAACGATTAAGTTCACGTGTTTTAGCAAAATTATTTTTAGTTTAAAATATTTAGAGCGTAATGAGGAGAAATATCCTCTATATTTCTTTATTGGTAGATTACAAACAGTTTGGATTCAAAGATTTGCGAAGATAAATATTTTGGGATCCACAATCTCAACATTTACTTATAAGTACAAGACAAAAAAACGACTTTCTTTAAGTCTGGACTATGTATATACTAGACTATAGACTATACTATAGACCAGACTATAAACTAGATTATAGACTAGAATATAGACTATAGACTAGAATATAGACTATAGACTAGCCTATAGACTAGACTATAGACTAGACTATAGACTAGACTAGACTATAGACTAGACTATAGACTAGACTATAGATTAGACTATAGACTAGACTAGACTATAGACTAGACTATAGACTAGACTATACACTAGACTATAGACTCGACTATAGACTAGACTATAGACTAGACTATAGACTAGACTATAGATTAGACTATAGACTAGTCTATTGACTAGACTATAGATTAGACTAAAGACTAGTCTATTGACTAGACTATAGATTAGACTATAGACTAGACTATAGACTAGACTAAAGACTAGACTATAGACTAGACTATAGACTAGACTATAGACTAGACTATAGACTAGACTATAGACTAGACTATAGACTAGACTATAGACTAGACTATAGACTAGACTATAGACTAGACTATAGACTAGACTATAGACTAGACTATAGACTATAGACTAGACTATAGACTAGACTATAGACTAGACTATTGACTAGACTATAGACTAGACTATAGACTAGACTATAGACTAGACTATAGATTAGACTATAGACTAGACTATATATTCGACTATAGACTAGACTATAGACTAGACTAGACTATAGACTAGACTATAGACTAGACTATAGACTAGACTATAGATTAGACTATAGACTAGACTATAGACTAGACTATAGACTAGACTATAGATTCGACTATAGACTAGACTATAGACTAGACTAGATAGCTATAGACTAGACTATAGACTAGACTATAGACTAGACTATAGACTAGACTAGACTAGACTATAGACTATAGACTAGACTAGACTAGACTATAGACTAGACTATAGACTAGACTATAGACTAGACTATAGACTAGACTATAGACTAGACTATAGACTAGACATAGACTAGACTATAGACTAGACTATAGACTGGACTATAGACTAGACTATAGACTAGACTATAGACTAGAATAAGACTAGACTATAGACTAGACTATAGATTAGACTAAGACTAGACTATAACTAGACTATAGACTAGACTATAGACTAGACTATAGACTAACTATAGACTAGACTATAGACCTAGACTATGACTATACGACTAGACTATAACTAGACTATAGACTAGACTATAGACTAGAACTATAGACTAGACTATAGACTAGACTATAGACTAGACCTATAGCTAAGACTATAGACTAGACTATAGACAGCTAAGACTAGACTATAGACTAGACTAATAGACTAGCTATAGACTAGACTAGACTATAGACTAGACTATAGACTAGACTATAGACTAGACTATAGACTAGACTATAGACTAGACTATAGACTAGACTATAGACTAGACTATAGACTAGACTATAGACTAGAAAATAGACTAGACTATAGACTAGACTATAGACTAGACTATAGACTAGACTATAGACTAGACTATAGACTAGACTATAGACTAGACTATAGACTAGACTATAGACTAGACTATAGACTAGACTATAGACTAGACTATAGACTAGACTATAGACTAGACTATAGACTAGACTATAGACTAGACTATAGACTAGACTATAGACTAGACTATAGACTAGACTATAGACTAGACTATAGACTAGACTATAGACTAGACTATAGACTAGACTATAGACTAGACTATAGACTAGACTATAGACTAGACTATAGACTAGACTATAGACTAGACTATAGACTAGACTATAGACTAGACTATAGACTAGACTATAGACTAGACTATAGACTAGACTAGACTATAGACTAGACTATAGACTAGACTAGATAGACTATACTAGACTATAGACTAGACTATAGACTAGACTATGACTAGACTATAGACTAGACTATAGACTAGACTATAGACTAGACTATAGACTAGACTATAGACTAGACTATAGACTAGACTATAGACTAGACTATAGATAGACTATAGACTAGACTATAGACTAGACTATAGACTAGACTATAGACTAGACTATAGACTAGACTATAGACTATAGACTAGACTTATAGACTAGACTATAGACTAGACTATAGACTAGACTATAGACTAGACTATAGACTAGACTATAGACTAGACTATAGACTAGACTATAGACTAGACTATAGACTAGACTATAGACTAGACTAGAGACTAGACTATAGACTAGACTATAGACTAGACTATAGACTAGACTATAGACTAGACTATAGACTAGACTATAGACTAGACATGACTAGACTATAGACTATAGACATAGACTAGACTAGACTATAGACTAGACTATAGACTATAGACTATAGACTAGATAGACTAGACTAGACTAGACTAGACTAGACTATAGACTATAGACTATAGACTATAGACTATAGACTATAGACTATAGACTATAGACTATAGACTATAGACTATAGACTATAGACTATAGACTATAGACTAGACTAGACTAGACTAGACTATGACTAGACTAGACTATAGACTAGATTAGACTATAGACTAGACTAGACTATAGACTAGACTAGACTATAGACTAGACTAGACTATAGACTAGACTAGACTAGACTATAGACTAGACTAGACTATAGACTTGTAACGATTCACGCGTTGTGCCCTATCCTTTAGAAGACCTGTGCTACCTTTATTCCGACCGTGCTCAGGGTTTGGGGTGGTGTTCTTGTCTCCATCAGGATAGGCTAAGAACCGCACATTCATTTAAAAAAGGTAGCTTTAAAATATTAACTAAACTAAAACCAAAAAAAAAAAAAAATAAAGAAAGTTTGAATTTAAAAATCTCGAGAAGATGGTGGCATTTCTTCTCATTCTAGACCCTCCCAACCTTACTATCTTTAAAAAAAAATCTGCAAGATAGCCCTATAATGATTCCCTATCTACATGTTTAACTAACCTTTCGTGGAATAAAATTTAATTTAGATTGTCATTATTAAAATCTAATAATTAAACAAATTTATTATTAAAATGCAAATTGTTTACAAACTTCATATTAAACATTAATAAAGATAATTGGCTAAGTATTGTTGTGTAATGTAATGGTTTGTTTTATTTTGAAGTATTCTAAATTGAAATATTCAACAATAAAAAAATTTAAGTTTATTTTCAAATGTTGTTAACATAAATCTTTAAGATATTATGTTAATAACATAAATGCTTTAACATAAAAAAAATATTCAATTTAGAACACTTATGTAGATAGAGAATTTAAATGAACACTATAGTAAACACAATTTAAAACTTACCAAACATAATCCAACGATGACAACAGGCCTGATGTGATGCTGAATTAGGGTTTATTATTTAATTTTGAATTTTAAATTATCATATTTTTATAGATTTTTAAATGTATTTATGTATGTATGTTAGTGTATATGTGTGTAGGGTGTATAAAGTGTTAGTACAAGTTTTAAGTTAATTTAAATTATGATTAAGTTTAATTTTAGATAAAGTTAAGTTAATTAAATTGAAATTAAGTTAAAATTAAGTTAGATTATTATCAAAAATTAGATAAAATTTAAGAAAATTTAAGATTTTCGTTAAATTATATGTAATTAAGTTAGAAAAGTTTAAGTAATTTAAGATAAAATTAGGTTTAAGATAATTTAATTAGATTTTATGTTAAATTATATAAAATTTAAGTTTTTTTTTTTTTTTTTAGATAAAGATGATAGTTTTAGTAGCTTTAAGTTAAAATTAGCTTTAGTTTAGCGTTTTATTAAACCAAATTAGTTTTAGAGGCTTCTCAAAATTAGAATTAGATTTAATTTAAGTTTAGATTTAGCGTTTAATTAGGATGAAATAAGTTTTAGTGATTAAATTAGTTTAGATTTTAAGTTTAAGTAGGTTTTAGATAAGTTTTTCCTGATTTTAGTTTAGATAATTAGTTATATGTTAGTTTTAGTTTGATTCTTGTAGAATTTTAGAAAGATGCTGAGGATTTATCCATGCTTATTTTAAAAATTTCCAAAATTAAGTGTAAATTATCCCCAAATTTCTTCTATTTGATTGAGTAATAACTTGAAATGATGGAAAAATTGAGAAATTCTGAATTATCATAAGTAATTGGCCAATAAAATTTATATAATTGCTTGGTTAGTTCTTTA